TATGGAACAGTGTTTGTAACCAAACGTGTTGCAATGGCATTTCCATCCTAAAGCAACGGACGCTTGAATTAGAAATGCTACTTCTGGGGTAGTGAGTACTGGCTACTTTGGCAGAAGCTTCCCTCCCAAGAGTGTTTCTGATGCTTCTACTCAACTTCAACTTTTCTGTAGATTTGAAATTTTTATAATTAAAAGTTAGAGGCAAAAGGCAGTTTCTCTTCCCGGAAACGGATTGCACCACTGGCATTAGGACAGCATCTCCCCCTCTTCCCTGGCTACAATTACAAGAATCTCTCAGTGCCTCCCTGTGTGAGGTATTTTGTAATCTTCTATTAATAGGGAGGGACTCTGAGTCACAGCAGAGGTTTTCCTCTCCCCAGAAGGAAGAAGTGATTATTTCAGGAACAGGACAGTTGTGGTGGCGTGGCATCATTTTCCTAGACAATTGCTTCCTAATTGGATTCTCTGCCTCCAGTTTCTCTTTCCCTTGCAGTCTCCTCACTTCTTTGTTACCAGAATCATATTCTGAAATCATGTCACGCCCCCGTATAAATATTTTTGATGACTTATCACTGCCTAAAGAAAAATTCCAGACTCTTTAGCATCACATCCAAAGCCCATTTCACCTTTTTAAAAACATATTTTTAGTGATTTCAGAGAGGAAGAGAGAGGGAGAGATAGAAAGGTCAATGATGAGAGAGAATCATTGATCAGCTGCCTCCTGCACGCCCCCCACTGGGATCGAGCCTGCAACCAGGCATGTGCCCTGTCCCTTACAGGAATTGAACCATGACCTTCTGGTTCATAGGTCGACATTCAACCACTGAGCCTCCATGGCCAGGCCCATTTTATCTTTAAGCTACCTTTCCCATGTTCTTTGCCACCCTGCACCCTCCATTCTGCTGAACTGCACCCCAGCTGTCATGCATGTCCATGTCTCCAAACCTTTGCTCATGTTGGCTGTCTCTCTAGCCTACAGTGCTTTTCTTCTCCCATCTGGGATGGGGAGAGGGAGAAGTCTGCTTATTCATAAGGCTCTAAGCGGGACACTTCCCAGCACCCAAGGTTGGTGAACCATTCTCTCTTCTAGTCTGCATTTCCTTTCTATAGCAATTACTGTACATTTGTTTGGTTACATTCTAACTACCTGTGCATGTGCATAACCTCCCCAATGAGACTTATTTTTTTTTGTGACAAAGGGTCCGAATCTTACTCATTCCTATATATCCCAACAGTCATTTTAGTTCTAGACCCACAATGGGTGCTCAAACATGATGGCGTTGTCAAGAGAAACTTTCTTTTAGGCAAATGCACATGAGAACTGTGTACGTGAGCCAGCATCATGGTGGAGGCCCGAGACGCCCAGGATGAAACACCTCATGCTGCCTCCACTAAACAGGGGGAGGTGGAGACAACTAGAAAAGGCCTCAGCCCATTTTTTGTAAATGGCCCAATAGGAGACAATAAGACCTGGGTGACGTAAGGAAACTATTAACCCCAGAGTACTCAGCCAATGAGGAACCAGAGGGCGGACTCTCACACCCCAGGGCCTAGCCAGTGATGGTGAACCTTTTGAGCTCGGTGTGTCAGCATTTTGAAAAACCCTAACTTAACTCTGGTGCCGTGTCACATATAGAAATTTTTTGATATTTGCAACCATAGTAAAACAAAGATTTATATTTTTGATATTTATTTTATATATTTAAATGCCATTTAACAAAGAAAAATCAACCAAAAAAAATGAGTTCGCGTGTCACCTCTGACACGCGTGTCATAGGCTCGCCATCACTGTTAGAGGCTGCCCACATTCCTTGCCACATGGCCCCTTCCACCTTCAAGCTAGGAAGAGCCACACTCAAGGGGCCAAAGAGCCGCATGTGGCTCGCGAGCCGCAGTTTGCCGACCACGGTTAGGGGATAAACAGCCTGCGATCACTATTCTGTGTGTGCCTGTACAACCGGAGGGGCACCCACTCTTGCAAGAACATATCAAAAGGCTCATTTTTGCCATACTTATGTCTCCGAGTTCATTATTTGAATTCAGACAGGTGAGCATTTCTCACATCTCTCCCCTCAATTCTTTGATTGACAGCACCTCGCAGAAAGGGCCACACTGAAGGAAAAGCCGCGGGCTCCTAAAATCAGAACCGGCAGGTTTGGAGTCTCACTGGGGGCGGGATCCCAGCTGCCCCAAGTCATGGAGCAGCTGGAGTGAGGGGTGGGAGGCGCCGTGGTGCCTAGAGGCTATGTGGTTCCATATGCAGGTGGGCTGGCTGCCTTCTGCTATCTGGGTCCTGCAAGATCCACAGGCCTTGCCACACCTCCTCTAACAATCACATATCAGAAATGCCACCCATTTCAGCAACAGAAATATTTTTTAAACATCCTTTATGCTAAATTTTAAAAATCCTGCAGGTCACCCAGTCTAAGGCATTGTTTCAAATTAAAGAATGTCACAGCTAATTACCCATCCCTAAAGCATTGGAGTACTAGGATAGTTATACTCAATTACTTAAAAGCAAATTACCATACAGACAATGTAGCAAAAGGGCAGAGAAATTGCACCATAACGGCCTTTTCCCCAGGAAACTGGTTGGGTGAGGGTAAGGGGGAGGGAGAGCAAGTGGGTGAGGAGGAGCATGACCTGGCAAGGTTTTAGGCTTTGGAGGATGGGAATGCTACAAAAGATGCATACTTGTCAGACGTTTAATAAAATAACCTTGGACTCATATATGTGCAGAATTACTATATAAGCTGTGTTAGCAGGCGGCCTGTTTACTCAAGGTTACAATGTGGCCTGCAGCACAGCACCCTTCACCCAGTCCCGGAGCATGGCTCTCATCCCCAGTGGCTCTGACACTCCCTCCTTCTCCCCCATCTGAAAAGTTCCTGCTACGCAGGCAAGTCAGAGGAAGGAAGGAACTTCCCAGAGGATGAGACTTCTGAGATGAGTGTATAAATGGGAGCTCCCATCAGCGACTGCAAACCCAGATCACTGAGAGAATGGGACACTAATTGCTAGGGCCAGCAGACTTCCAATTCCCTCTTTGTAGACTATGCAGTCAACAGGAATGGCCGTGAGCTGGCAGCGAAGGGGAGAAAATGCCTGCTGCTTCGGCCGGTGAGCCCCAGACAGCTGGGAAATCCCAGCTGTCAGCATCCCCTACGCCCCCAATTTGTCCTGGTCTCCTGGCACACTGAGACAATGTGATTTCTGGGCTGCTCACATCAGCAACTAAGAGGACTGGTAAAGCAATCTACTAAAATAATTTTTCAAAATTTTGCATGGATTGTTTTTCTGTTCCTGAGAATAAAACTGACATGTAGAGTTTTCTATTATATAATCCCTTTTCAGCAAGGTCAAAAAGGTTTATTTAGAGGTGTGTATATTCGTGTGTGTGTAAAATAAAAACAGGTAACTGTCCATTATTATTGTTTCAGGACTGTTCCTACCCCTTTACAAATCTGAGTCATTTATTACAATAGTCCTGTGATATGTTATCCCCATTTTCCAGGTGAGAAAACTGAGGCATAAGGAGATTATGCAACTCCTGCAGTCACATGACTGGAAAGCATTAGAATCCAGGTTAATTTAACTCCAGATCTAACAGTCTTGACCAGCAATATGAAAGTTAACAAATTAGCCCTGACCTGGCTGGTGTTACGGTGTTACTCAGTGGTTAGAGCATCAGCCCGCAGACTGAAGGGTCAAGGGTTCAATTCCTGGTCAAGGGCATGTACCTGGGTTGCAGGTTCTATCCCAGGCCCCCATTGGGGGCTAGTGTGGAAGTCAAGTAATCAATGTGTCTCTCTCACATCAATGTTTCTCTCTCCTTCCTCCCTCCCTTCCTTCCACCCTTTCTGAAAATCAATGGGAAAAATATCGAGTGAGGATTAACAAAAAGAAAAAGCTAAATTATGTTGAAGCTGCCATTTTATCAGGTCAAATCCATAACTGGCTGCATGAAGGCATGTTTTAGCCACTCTTATTGAGTAGTGGGCAGAATATACTAGAGAGGCTTCCAAAGTTCTGAAATGTGAGCTTGGGTTCCAGGGTAATTACCTGACATTTGAGCTCAGCCTTCCCCACTATAAAACTGTGGTACACCTGCTTTGCAGAGTTACATGGCAGTTATAGTTAACATGTGCAAAGTTTGGTGTAGATTAGATTGTTGCCATTAAGTTGCTATTTTCATGATATATATAAATATAACTTTTATAATCACCTATCAAATGGCTTAAAGCAGTATTGCTTAGACTGGAGCGTGGAGGCCCCTGGGGTTCCACCATGTTCTTGGAGGATCTGTGAGTTCTTAAGTTTGATAAACTGAGCAAAAGCGTTCTTTGTGATGTGGACATGCATTTCCACTGATAGCTAAGGCAAAAATGGGCTGACAGAAAACAGTCCCTACTTTGAAGGATAATTAGTTCTCTTACACAGCAGCGATTTGTGCTGCACATGTCTGAGCAAATAAAGGAACACAAGAAAAGTCACCGGAGAAAACAGGGCTCACACATGGAGGCACAGGCAAGTAATGTGCGTGTAGATGCATCATGGCTAATGCCAAGGAGGCTGCACACATGACGCTTCATGACATGACCAGGAAGGTTCTGGAAAGATGAACATATAGTCCCTGGCCTCCCTGGACGGCAACATAAGCCCAATTTCCCACTAAGGATCATCCCTGGGGCTTTGGAAATGATACAAAGGCAAGCAAAGTGCTGTAGTCCGTCCTCCCCGCCCCCTCCCCCCTAAAATGAGCGAGCTTGGCTGTCCTGCAGAGATGCAGCTTCCTGGGGACTTCTCGCACACACATTTACATGTGCTTTTACATTTCCTACTTTGTGAAAATAAAGGATTAGAGAGAAGAATCAATGTTTTCCCACTGGAATGAAAGGGACTAAAGCTTTTGAAAGAAGAAATCAACATTATTATATTTAAATTAAATTTCTTGGTAAAGACTTCAAAAGAATCTTCTAGATAAATTCTCTATGGGATCCTGAATGTAAATTACGTGCATTCCCTCAGGTGATGGAAAACAGAAACACAAGAAAGCGGATGAAGACCATCATTTTTGAAAGCTTAGCCCGATTGGGGCCAAGGTCGAAATTTCACATTAGTTCCCATTTTTTCTGCCGGTTGTATCATTCTGGCAAGATGTTCAAGTGCCATGTCGTCTATAGGAATGCTCCAACCACGCCCTAGATGTGCCTGTGGGTGTGTGATTCTGGCACTGCTACCGACCAGCTTACCTGTTAGCGCCATCTAACCTAGCCTGCCTTTCCCCCACTCCTGAACTGTTTAGGAAAAGCGTTAACCCTGCAGCCCCTCACCCTGGGGCCAGCTCCCTAAAGCTGCCAGTGAGAAGCTGTTTGATTGCAAACCCGGATCTGCAGTTGTGCTTTTCATTTGGGGCACATATTTGAAACTCCTTTTGGTTTTCTCTGCACAGCCTATCCTACTGTCAGCCCTTTGGGCCTCTTCGGTTCCTGCTGATCAGACATAACTCGCTGTCTTTTTTGAGGAATCTGCCAAGAGACCTTTCCAATAGTTCTGAACCCCAAATGCCCTTTATTTCCAGGCAGACCATTTCAAAGATATTTCTCAAATGCAGTTAAATTCCATTCTGAGGTCTAGCTGTTCTGAAAGCCACTGTCACTTTGAGGGCTCCCTGGGACTTCTAAAAGTGAATCTTGAATATGCCACATGACTACTTTTTAAGTCAGACCTTCCAAAACATGCTCTCCCTATTAGCTGAAAATCCGTGTAACTATTTTCACATGACGTGCTAATAAATGCATTCATAGCGATTATTCCAAGAAGATTAGAGGTCATGCTAACCCTTTTGGGTCACTTAAATTCCAAGTGTCCTTGAGGCAGGAAAATTCCTGCAAAGCTGGAATGCTTCTTCAATTGTCAAGCAAACATTCACAACCAAAAGACACTTTTAAGCAGCTTCCCAGGGGGAAGAATTCAAGCCCGGATTCTAGGTGCACGCGCACGCATATGCACACGGAGAAATTAGGATCTTGGAAAATTGCTTCCCTGCACATAGACACAGCCCTCTACACACGAACCACAGCCTAAGCAGGGAACCGGGGCCTCAGGAAGTAAGGAAGCCTTTGATTCTCCCAGTTGTTAGGACTCTTTTGAGAATGTTTCCTGGGAGGCTGGGTGACAGGGCCAGGAAGAGGAGATTCAAGACAGGAGCATCAGCAACAGCAAGTCAGTTCTGTGCAGGAATAAAGCAGGAGTTTTTAAAAAGTCATCATTTGAGTCCCCATATTGAGTCCCCAACACTTTTTGTATGTCACCTAGTTTGTCTCTAATCCTCACAGTCCTTTGAGGATTATAACTAATCCCAATTTTGCACACTACTGAATTCCTTTCCTTGCTTTATTTTTCTCCATAGCACTTTCACTTTCTAATATACTATAGAATTATTTCCGTTATTGATCGTCTGTCCTCAATAGGATGCAAGCTCTGGGAAGGCAGGTATTCTTGTGTCTTGTTCACTGCTGCTTTCTGGAACCTGGAATAAATGAGCGAATGAATGCATGAATGGTGGCACAGAGAGGTTAGTAACTGCTCTGTCAGACCACAAGTGAGTGGTAGAGCTAAGATTTAAACCCAGGCCCATGTGCTACACAGACTAGGTAAGTAATGGTAGTTGTGATGATCCAAACACACTGTAAGGAAGAACAATGTGTAGCATTCACTGTGTGGTTAACTAAATGAAGAGGTACATACAGTCAAAGAAAACCACCAGATGCAGAAGGAGCAGGAAAGTAAGCCTAACTTTTGATCCTAACATGTGTGGGGAGGGTGCAACAGATAATGTGACTCTAGTGGTCAAAATCCAAAAGGCAGACCTTAATCCTGCACATTCCAGCAGGGAACAGCAGAGTGTAGTATGATCTCTACAACATCCTGTATTACTTACATGTATGTGGTTAATCCTGAAAGGTCTGGACTCAAATCCTGGCCCCACCATTTCCTAATGTGTGACCTCAGGCAAATTCATTCATCTGTGAACGGAGATAATTTACATGGGTTTTCTGAAGACTGACCAAAGTTATGAACTTAGAGAAATCGGTACCATGCCTACCGTGTAGTAAATGCCCCATACGTATTATTTCTATTAGGTCGTTTTGGTGTGGTTGGAGAAGAAACAGGGTGTTTCAAAAGGGACCCCTGAGGGAGAAGTTAGAAAGGTACCTGGGTACTTTCTGTCCGTTAACCCAGTTAAAGGGTTTTGACCCTGGTCTGTAACAGCACCTGCTTTGCTTGGCAGCCGGGTTGGGATGGATTCAACTGCTCAGGGCAGTTCTTCAGAGGGTTTCTCTGTAGACCAGCCGATTCCAGGCGAGCTGTGAGGCAGCCCGCGAAGGGGGTCTTTGGGATGGAAAGGACTCAGGCCTCTGTACAGGTTCGGAATTCAGAGAGATAAAAATAGTATCAACAGCTCACAGCACACCATGTTTGGGCATTTCGATTTACCCATCCAATCATCGCAGATATTTTTATCTTCATTTCGCCACCGTGGGAGACTTCGGCGTAGAACAGTTAGAAGATTTAACCACGGTCGAATGTTTAGGAAGCGATTGGGGCACAATTTAAACCCCGGCCGCCCGGCTCAGAGGCTCTTTACGGCGCCTGTTTTAGGACCTAGCGGTCCGACCGGTGCTCCGCGGGGGGCCCCGCGACACAGGGGAGGGCGCTGCCGTTTTGGAAAACGCGACGAGAAGGAGAGAAGGACCGACATTCGGCTGCGATAGCCTTCAGAAGCACGGGTCAGACTAAATGTTTCCATCTTCGAGTTTGCAAAGTGTTGCGATTATCCTCCCAAATTTATGCCCAGGTTCAGGTAACTGCGTTTTTAAAATAGCAAAATAGAGCCCTAGCCAATTTGGTTCAGTGGATGGAGCCTGGGCCTGCAGCCTGAAGGGTCCCGGTTGGATTCTGGTCAAGGGCACACGCCCCAGCTGCCGGCTCCCAGTGGGGGGCGTGCAGGAGGCAGCCAATCAATGTTTCTCTCTCCCTTCCTCTCTGAAATCAATACAAAATTAAATAGAAACCAGCGTTCCTCCCTCCTTTCCTGCGGGAGGTCCCGGCTGAAAGAGTCCGCTCTTCTCGGTTCTACAGCAGGGCACCCTGCCTCCCCGCTCCTCGCCTCCAGGTCCCAGGGACTGAAACGCCTTGGGTTGGTAACGCCTGTAACAGGTGGGGGCGGATCCAAGGCGTCAAACCCAGCGCAGGCCTCCCCCAGCTGGAACGGGAGGACATCCAGTGAAATATGGGGGTTTTGTTCCAAGGCATGCCCAAAAAAGGAGCGGGGAGAGGAGCTCGGCCACCCCCGCCTTCGCCGCACACGCTCCTCCAGGGGCGGCCCGCCCGCGGCAGCGCTCCAAACTTGGCAACCTGGGCCTCGCGAGCAGCCTGCTTTTTTTAGCTTCCATTCCCCAAACCAGGGGAGAGGCGGGTGACTGCAAATGCAAATCGGAGCGGGGCGTCAGCAGGCTGGCCCGTGGGTGCGGGAGTCTGGCTGAGGGAGACCCCACGACCTCAGGTGCCCTCCGTTACACTTGCGATGGGCCCAGAGCGCCGGGAGGGGC